AAATATATATATATATATATATATATATATATATATATATATATATATATATATATATATATATATATATATATATATATATATATATATATATATATATATATATATATATATATATATATATATATATATATATATATATATATATATATATATATATATATATATATATATATATATATATATATATATATATATATATATATATATATATATATATATATATATATATATATATATATATATATATATATATATATATATATATATATATATATATATATATTTACAATATTCTATAAATTCTACCGAATATCAACCGAATTCGGTAGAATTTATAGAATATTGTAAAAATTATGGTCTATTACCAACATATATATATATATATATCTCTGATACAAACACACCCACATTTCATGTGATAGTCGGGTTTTCTTTGCATTAATACTCGGTCACTGCAGCTATGACAACCAGCGTCGTAGGTATTACACTATCTGGCCGAATGATGAACCTAAAAATGTTTGCCTGACTGAGGTATATGTGGTTGTCTATTTATACAGCCATTTGATCTCCGGTGATAATATTAAGTTAGAAAAATGTTTTTTATCTGTAATAAGTTGATTTGCATTTATTAATTGTTTTATGTGTCGTTGATATTTTACGAAAAAATTTATTTCATAATTATTTCTAGAATTATTTAACAGTATTATTAATTATATAATAAAGAAACATTGAATGGAATAAAAATAAAATGAATAAAAAGACAAATAAATAACAAGGAATCAAAGTCATAACGGAGAGGTTGGATTTAACACCTGCCACATCCTTAATTTATCCTTTCTACTCTGGCAAATTTGACATCTTCGTCATTAAAATCATCATTATCGTCGTCATCATCGTCGTCATCTCTTGGCAGCCAGCTAGCGGTGTGTTGTTCCCATAACGTAAAAAGTGTGGCAGTTCATGTTGAAACGTGGTCGTTCGAAACTGATAGATTGTTCCTCTGATTGGTTTATACGCAGACGCACGCACACGCACGTACACGCACGCACATGCACACACGTTTACGCATTCACACACACGTACACGCACGCACACACACACACATAATAATACGCCGTATATGTAATAGTATTTCCAAAGCATGTGCACGAAACTCGCATGACAATATCCATCCATCCATCCATCCATCCATCCATCCATCCATCCATCCATCCATCCATCCATCCATCCATCCATCCATCCATCCATCCATCCATCCATCCATCCATCCATCCATCCATCCATCCATCCATCCATCCATGGTTCTTTATAAGAGGCATACATTGTCTCGCCTACCGTCTTTTAATAAATGTTAAATTGCTTTAAGGCAGATGTTCACGCGTAAATATACTACCATCACGTACGCCTACGTGGGCCTAGAGCCGGCGTACAAATGTACGCACATTCGCACGCACATTAGCTCGGCACACGCACTCCAACACGTACACGTACACGCACATGCAAACTTACATATTTATATATAGATAAAAAACATGTTTATCTGCTATTTTATATTGCTTGTATGTGTGTGAGTGTGTGTAAGTAAATACAAATATATATGTACACTTTAAGACAAAAATGTTCTGCATTTTGTATAAAACTTTTGTCGAAACGCACGTAAACATGATGGTAGGCAAACAGTGCGAACGAACAAACGCGAACGTAAAAACGTAAGTGAACCTTCAAAATCGTTTGCGAATGAACAGAATGATAAGCGTGTTGTTTTACGTTGCGTATAACGCGAAAAAAACTTCAAGAATGAGTTGAAAAAACTAAAAAACTTTGAAAACTAATTGTTTCTTATCAAAAAAGTTGAATGTGAAACAAAAACATTACCTCAACGCACTGCCCAATTTAAAATGCGCTATTCTTCTCAGCCAATCTCAGATTAAGCCATCAAAAATTTATACCTGAAATATTAGCAAAATTAACATGCACTTTATAGGTTAACGATTTAGAAAACTTGGCGTTTTTTTTTATTTTGGAAGGTTATGTTGTTGCTTTATTATTATATTATACCAGAGCTAACTCTTTTTGCATTTCTTGTTTCGGATTTATACACTGAAAAACCATTCCTATTCTTTTTGA